GATGGTAGATAACCTTTGAACCAATTCATGCAAGACGTGACAATATGCCTAGACAGTGGCAACCCATTTAATTGCCTGAGGCAAGGACGATTAGGTGCCAGACAAGTAGTGAAGGATGCTGATGGCACTGCACGCCCTCTGTGTCTGTTAGGAAAGGGGCAGAGGGCATTGGGGTTGGGTTGGAAGTTCCCTTAAGAGTGATCGTCAGTGGGCCTCATTTCTTGAAACAAATTCCCAAAGTGTTCTTCCAGTTGGGTGAATTCGGTATTAAAAATGGGGTTGCTATTTAAACGAACCCTATAATTAGTCCCACAAAGAGTTTCATCTTTATTATATTACAAATCATCACTCCAGTCTGTTTGGTGAGCAGAGTTTCTTGGATCAGAGCATGTGTACATCTGGCTTGGTGGCCTTTCCCTCAGCCCGACAACCTTCAGCGGAGTTTGCTGTGGGGCTGACGGGCTTCCTTTGTGGTGTTCAACAGTGACCGTCCCTAAGCCGAGTGAGGGCAGAGTTGGCCGAGTGTGAGTGGCCGCAGCAGTGGGCTCCCGCCCACAGCAGTCTCAGGGCCTGCGAGCTTGGTTCTGAATAGGGAGCTGGGGAAGCGAGCATGCAGGTACAGCATCCGCACGAGGGAAGGGTAGCTCCTTACAGATGGGACATCCAGGGCGCCGGCCGGCTGGGGACCTTCCAGCTCTGATTAGTGTCGTTAGGATCCACCAAATGCCACCACCAGAAGAGGCCTTCAGGCCAACATGTCTCAACGCCCAAGGTTCCTACCAGCTGTCACACAGAAAAAGATGCTGTGGTCAGATAAACTTGGAGAACCCAGGGTTCGAGCACGTCAGACAGGTTTCTTTATTGTGGAGCTGTCAGCCTTTACTGTGCGGTGTGTGTTGGACCTGCTGAGGGGAGACTGTTTCTCCCAAACCTGTTTGACTGCACAGCGTCTCTTCCGGTCGGCTTCTGGCCACACGTTTGTAAACCTCATTCAAGAATGTGTCTCTCAATCTGGAGCACGTGCATCGTTATTGCCTGGGGAGCTTGTTAAATGCAGGTGCTTGGGCCACATCCCTAGTTTCTGCATTGCTGACATGTTCTCGGGTGATGCTGATGGTCTGCGTACCACACTTTGAGAACCACAGAGGAGAAGACAGCTAAAGCCAGGAGTATTTATTAATAACGGCTACCGTAATTGTGCCCAGTACCTGGGACGCACTTCTGGTGATTATCTCTAAAGGCAAGTGTGACGATGGGAGTCAGTCGCTGGAGAGGGGACAGTACAGTGCAAACAGTGACCCCTGTGGGGGAGTGGGGGTGGGGGGACTGGCAGGGGGGCTCCCCCTGGAGGCCAGCCAGGGTCTTCCTGTCCTTGGCAGCACTGTTGGGAAAGTGACATCTTAGTCCTCTGGGCCTTGGTGTCCTTATCTATAAATGGAAGAGGATGGAAATTATTTTTATGGGTACTTTCTACTTTTTCTAGCATTCCACTTTATTTTTGCCTGTTTTGCTTTTTTTTGCTGGGTGCTCTCCTTTTACCAGTCACAGGAGCTGGTACACGCCGAGGCGTGGGAGATCGCAGTGTGCCCGTCCTAGGGGAGCGTTTCTGGGGCATGTGATGGTAGAACCCAGGCAGCGTGGCCCCTGGATTGTCCTGGTAACGACTGTTACTGCATCGAGTTCCAGGGGAGAAGTGTCCCAGGGCCTTCATGCCGCTTACTCACTTGGGGATGTCACAACCTTGCGATGTGCTTAGAGTCCTGGCACAGAAGGAATAATCAGTGCCAGGCTGGGCTATAGATACTATGTTAGAGGTTCTTGCAAGGACTTCTGAAGCCCCTAGAAGCGTATGCAGGATTGTGAGTGGGAGTTTTTCTGCAGACGGATCATTGCTGTGCATGGAAGGTCAACCGTGTAGACTCAGTCCCTGCTGAACTGTGGGTGGAGCAGGAGTCAGGGAAGTGTGGGTGTCCCCAGTGTCTGTGGTGCACCCAAAGCAGCCCCTAGACCAGTGATGGCGAACCTTTTGAGCTCGGCGTGTCAGCATTTTGAAAACCCTAACTTAACTCTGGTGCCGTGTCACATATAGAAATTTTTTGAAATTTGCAACCATAGTAAAACAAAGACTTACATTTTTGATATTTATTTTATATATTTAAATGCCATTTAACAAAGAAAAATCAACCAAAAAAAATGAGTTCGCGTGTCATAGGTTCGCCATCACTGCCCTAGACAATGGGCAGGAGTGGCCACGAGCACCCTGGGGCCGAAACCACAGCAGAACAAGCAGCCCAAGTGGGTGTAAGGGTTAAACCTCTTCTTCCCTCAGAGGACAGCAGTGAGTAGCACAGCACAGTTTGTTCACCTGGGTCAGCCCAGCACCCGATTTCTCCCCATGAGCCCTGCTGCCTCTGAAACATGGATGTCGGCCCAGGGAACACTGCCCTCTGCTGGAAGGTGGAAGAGGAGGCAGGCTTGGGTGGTGAGAAGAGCCTGCGGCACAAGAGTGATGAATTTCAAGGCCTGTCTTTACTCCTTCACCTCCAAGTGCCCCTGAGAACCGGCCAGCAGGCCAGTGTCACCTCAGCTCTGCTGAGCACAGCTTTCCCTGGACCCCACAGCTCGGAGCAGCCTGCTTGTCACCCTGGAGGGCTCGGGGCTTCCAGACCAGGCTGACGTAGCGCTGGTCCCACCACTGCAGGCCGGTGTGTCTGAGAATGAAAGCGGTGCTGTGTGGGTGGAAGGGACCAGGTGCGAGAGGCTGTCAGAGAGGCTGGCGTGGGTGCGTGGAGATGAGGGCTCCCTTCCCGCAGCCACCTGCACTGAACCGGTCATGCCACCCACTCTGCGGCTCCTGTCTCCTGTGAAGCACCATCGTGTCTTGGCCTCGTGGGTTGGCACCCCGGGCCCACACCCAGGCAGCACCAGTCATCACATGCGCTCCCCCAACCCAGGTGCACACAGACCCCTCCCCCTTCCACTGTGTTTAGGTTCCCAGCCCTTCACCTGCCTCAGGGCTGTGCCCCGACCCACCCTTTACCACCTGTCTCAGGAAGGCAGCTCCAGCCCTGCCCTTTGCTTAGGGAGCAAGTGGATTCAGATGCACAAAGCCGTAAGCCATGGGTAGGTACGCGTTTTTTCTGTGTCTCTGTCTTCCTCTCCTCCCCTCTCCCCTCTCCCCCTTCCCTTGTAGTCTACCCTTCCTCTCCCCTCTGGTCCTTCTGCCTCCCACATTGCCCCTCTTCCTTTCCCTCCTTTGCTCTGTGTACACCCCTAAATTCCCAAAACGACATGTTCTTTAGCCTACCTGCAGGCAAAGTTTCTGGGCCCTCATTCCCTTCATTGCTCCGTGTGTCGAAATGACTCTGGCCCTGCCTTAAATGAGCTTCAGCGCCTGCTGGAGGCCCCTGAGGAAGGGAGCTCTGCCCTCTCACAATAGGGCGCAGGGGTCCCAGTGAGCTGCTGCTCTGATTTCTAGTCAATGTGCTGTGGTCCCTCAGGATCGCTAAGCACAGCTGGCCTGAGGGGTTCCCCGAGGTGTAGGCAGAGCTCAGTGCATCCACAGTGCTTTTAAGTCCATTTCCCGAGTGAGACAGACCAGATCCTCTGCCCAGGTTGGGAGTGTCCCCGAGTGCAGCACTGACAGCCAGGCAGGAAACCACCACTGGGGGGAGGCCCGTGGGGGGGAGTGTGGAAGGAAACGCCAAGGACTTTGTGGGGACCAGGGCAAAAGGTGGGGCGACTGTTGTGGGCTTTGCTAGGACCCATTCTTAGCCAGCTTCAGAACAAAATCAGGAGAGCCGGTGAGCCTGAGCCCACTGGGCCCCGTGACCGCGGGGCATCGTTCAGAATACCCAGGGCTCAGCCGGTCTCCCTGCCTGTAGAAGCAGGGAGGACGAGGCGGGAGGTCTCAGCAATCCTGCGGAGCCCCTGGCTTCTGCTGTTGCCTCCCAGGCCTCAGCCCCCTGCACCCCCATGTCAGCCAGCGCTGCTGCACCTGCCCATGGTGTGGAGATCAGATGCCATGTGAAGAAGGGTTTCTGGTGCGAAATGCGTTGTATTAAACCACTGGAGTAGATTTGTCAGGTTACATTCTGCCCAGCATCACATTCTACTCTGGAAACGTTTTCAGGTGAAACGGTTTGGGCCAGACCCAGGTAACATCGGAGGGTGTCACCTCCAAGGGGCACCCAGCCCTCTTCTTTGGCACTCCCCCCCCCCCCAACCCCGTTATACTTGGCTCTGCCACCACTGCTCCCAGCAGTGCTTGCTGTTGCGCATCAGGTGAAGGAAGGCCATCCCTCCTCAGTGCAAACAGAGCAGCGGCAAACAGACCCTCCTCCCTCTGTCCAAGGGCTTAGGGACAAAACTGACATGGCCAATAGATGGACGTTTGTTAAAGCCAAAGTACACTTGCCCTTTTGTTTGTTTTTTTAACATTTTCCTCAGTACAGGACCAGGAACATCCTGCCAAGAGGACAAAGCCTCATTCGATCCATTTGTTTGGGGCTGCGGGTCCCTCTGAGCAGAAGGCACAGGGTGCCAGACACCCACAGTGCCAATAAGCCAGACCCCTTTTCTAAAAGAACAGGAACAGAATCTGCAGTCCTGGCCTGACCACTGGCTCGATGGTGTCATGACCTGTCCTTTCTTCATCAGAGCAGATCCACATGCTCTGAGGGAGCCATTAGCAGCCTGTCCTGCAGCCCAGGCGCTGCTGCGTGTGGGGAGGGGGCTCACTGGGCCAGACTTCAGCTCGCCACCCTCTTCTTTCTGAAAGCGGAGCGGGGCTCCTTGAGGTGGGTGTTTTCCTGCAAGCTCGGCCTCTGCATTCACAGAGGCGTGTAGGAAGTTTCTTGGGGGAGAAGTGCCATGAGCAGGTGTGAGTGGGCACCTCCATGGAGCAGAGGAGGGTGGAGCCCAGCAGGACACTGACTCTGAGCAGTGAGACAGGCAGCTGGGAGCCCTGGTTTACCGCCTTCTCCCACCTCTCTCTCCAGATGCGCTGGCTCCCTCCCTCCGAGGCTACTTCTCAGGGCTGGAAGTCCCGTCAGTTCTGCTGAATACTACGTGAGTACTTGCTTCCAGTGGCAGCTGGGACATGTGCCGGAACATGGGCAGCTCTCGCCCTCCCGGGGCTCCCCCACCTCCCGCACTGGAAGAACTCCGTGGCAGTGCGTCCCTCCACGAGACTGCCCTCTGGGGTCGAGGGAGACGTAGGGATGCTCCTCTGAGTCTAACCTAAAGCCCTGAGCCTGGCCTCCCTCTTCATCACGCTGGTTCGGAAGGACAGGTGTCAGGGTTTTCACTGTCATTGTAGTTCGCCTGCTGCCAGCCCCAAACAAACCCTCTTCATGTGAAGGCATAAGTCATCTAAAATGTACAGTGAGCCCTAGCCGGTTGCTCAGTGGTTAGAGCATCGACCTGCAGACTGAAGCGTCCAGGGTTCGATTCCGGTCACGTGCCTACCTCGGTCACAGGCTCAACACCAAACCTCGGAGACAACCAATCGATGTTTCTTTCTCCCCCTTCCACTCTCTCTTTTTAAAAAAATAAATGGAAAAGGTATCCTCAGATGAGGATTAAAAAAATATTTTTTACAGTGATTCATCATGGGAGTCTTAGACTTTATCAGCAGTAACTTCCCCTCATGCACCTGTGGATAGTACAGCTTCAGATAATGTGTGTAAAATCTCCCTGGGCTGAGACCCAAGAAAGAAGCTGACAACTTAAGCATTGTGTCTAATTTTTTTAAAATGTTTTTATTGATTTCAGAGAGGGAGATATAGAAACATCAGTGATGAGAGAGAATCATTGATCGGCTGCCTCTTGCACGCCCCACACTGGGGATCGAACCCACAACCCAGGCATGTGCCCTTGACTGGGATCGAACCCGGTACCCTTCAGTCCACAGGCAGATGCTCTATCCACTGACCTAAATCAGCTAGGGCGTGTCTAATTTATTAAGAGAGCTTACATATAAGGCATGTCTTGGATGGTGGCAGGACCGCAGATATCCTGTGGGCCACGGGGTGGGCACTAAAGTATATAGAACAAGGCAGGCTGGATGGGGGACTGGTGTGACCACCCCCAGATTAAGGAGCCTGTCCCAGGAGCGGCTGTGGGGCCGTGGGGAGGGTCGGAGGGTTGGTTGGACAGTCTGAGGGGAGGGGATGTGCCAGGAGGTGGCCTGGATCTGTGCTGGCCTGGATCTAGCGTGTGGGTGGGCAGCAGAGGCTGGGTTCTGGAACAGCCTCTCCTCCACAGCTCGTCTCTGAAATGCCTGATGTTTGTCCTGGAGGCAGGCGCTGGGCTTTCCTGAAAGCTGCTTATCTTGATGGAAACATTATCCTAAATTGTCATCTTTGTGCTGTTTTATCTTAGGCCTAACCTTGCTTCAGAGAACTGCCAAGTGATTTTTTTTTCTATAAAAGTAAAATTTCTATAAAAATTTAAATGCCTTTTTAAATTCAGTATCTTGACTGCATTTTTGTTAAGTACAAAGCACTGTCACTTTGAACCCTAATTTGGTGTGTGAGTTTGGGGAGTCTGCCCTAGAGTAGAGTCTTAAATGGTAGGTTTCTACTGTCAACCTTCCCTTGGTCTGGATTATTCCTTCACAAAACAGGAAGAACAGTGAGACTAGGGATGGACTTGGGAAGCCAGTCCCTATGTCCCTGAGGCTGACCTAGAGGCTGACCTAGAGGCATGGTCCTTTTCTTGAAAAGCTCCTCTTCTAAGGCAAACATACTTGCCAGTTAAACTGGTGCTCTTCTCCCACCATTAATACTGGGTGTGTTTTTGTTAGATCACGTGAGGCCACTGAGACTGTTAAGAGGTTCATGGGGGGAAACTGGCCTCTAGGCCTCACTCACAGGGAAAATACTGGAGAAGTGGTAGGTGCTGGAGCCAGCCTTATCGGGTCAGCGCCCTCGTCGTGAGGAGGAGGAAGAGCTCTGGGCTTTATTTTCCATAGGAAAGGTGCCCTGATGACCTGAAGTCTCGGTTGGTGAGTCATGTCACCTTCACGTTTAGCTGGGGCACTTCCCGAGAGCTCATTTAGGTCAGAAAGAAGGCTTCTTTGTTCTGAGGGAAGGGCCTGGCCAACCAGGACAGGGATTGGTGATGGGGACGAGAGCATCAGAAATCCCACCAAAGATTTAGCAGAGTGGCCAGTCAGTAGACCCTTACCCGGCAGTCAGGACTCGTTCTCTGGTGGTGAAAATAAGTAAGTTGTAGGGTGACATTTCTGCTTTAAGACATCAACTTCAATAAGTTAGAATTGTACCTGTCCCAACGTATTCCTTAGTGTGGCCAAAGAACTAATCCTGAGGGATCATCGTAGGGGGAGTGCATAAGTGCATCCAGTATCAAACAAAGTTAGACTTCTTTACCAAAAGATTCTCAGAGCCTTTGTAATAATGTGAGCATCGTGAATCTTTAAGATTAGGGAACTCTAGGATGCAGTCTTTCTCAAGTTGAGACCAGGGAACCTTGTTTTTTTTTTTACACTGAATCTTAGGAAACTAATTTTTTACATAGAACACACTTTGGGAAACTGCTCTAACCTCTTAACCAAAACCTACACCAGTGGCACCCATATACCAGGTGGGCATAAGTAGGTTTACATGTGTTGTATGGAAAGTAACCCAATAATTAATAATACAAGAGTAAACTCTGTTTTATGGATTCACAACCATAAACCTACTTTTCCCCACCCGTGTGTGTGTGTGTGTGTGTGTGTGTGTGTGTGTGTCTTGGGCCAGTGGTCATCTGTTCTACTTTTCACTTCTCTATTATGATGGAGGAAATCAAGATAAAAGTTGATGGTACTTGTCCCTAATTCTGAAATTAGGTTCTTATGGGTGTATGTTCAAGTATCTGTTTTAAATGAAATGGCAATTGCATTTTAACTGTCCTTTCTCAGAAAGACAAAGTTAGTAGTCCCTGGTAGATACCCAAGTATTCTTTATAATATTGAACTATTTTGTGAAATCTAAAAGTTCACTGTTTAGGGGAAACGTTTTCCTCCTGAAAGTACCACTTTTAAGTTTCGAGGTATATTAGTATTTAATTGTCCGTTAGGTCCAGGATTTTCTAAGTTCATGCTCCATATCCATACACCCATCATTTTTAAACTTAAGTTATGATCCTTAGCCCTTGTTTCTTCATTCAGAAAAGCCTTGATCGTTTGGCCCTGTGGGACCCTCCGTTGCCAGGGTGACATAGGTCTAGCACTGTAGCGTCGTGTAGTTCCAGAAGACACTGTTCACATGCACCCCTCTCTTTTGTGACTGTGTTTCTCTCCCAGTGTTCAAGGCTGGTCAGTATTTGTAGAGCTGTCTAGGATGAGATAATTTGAACTTCTGAAGCTCACAAAGAGCTCATACATGTATGCTGAAATGTAGATCTGGCCCTCAGGATAAGCTGACGGCTGAGAAAGTAATGGCATTAGAATAGAGGTCAGCGGGACAAAACCTGGAGGTTCACCTAGATGTCGGGGGTCAGGAGATGATGAACAGCGAGGGAAGAGTGGCCAGAGGAGCAGATGAGGCGGAGCCGGCAAGGCAGTGCTGAGCTGCTTGGTCAGCAGTGTCCACTACAGCAGGACAGTGAGTAAAAGGACAGAGTACCTTTGAATTTGGCGATTTGGGCTGGCTAAGGACGGTGGTGGCACAGGGTCTGAGGAAGGACTTTTTTGGAAACATGTATGTAGCCAAAGGGAAGACATGATTATTAAGCAGTTGCATGGGTTCCAGCCACAGAGATCCTGCTGTTCATTTGTATCAGGCTCACCTCCATTTTCCAAATTGTCCTTTCCCCACTGACGATCTGCCAGAAATCTAGAGGTGGCGGTGGCTGCCCGGGGCTGGGGCTGCCCACCCCGCCCCCCCCCCCCCCCCCCCTTTAGGAAGCACTGCAGGGTCTGTGTAAAGATGCAGCATCTCCTGGGGAGGCATTGTTTGTTCTGGGGGCTGGAGAGTGGAGGAGGGGGGCTGCTTAGGAAGGAGGATGGGTAACTGTACTCTCTCACCGCAGTTGGGTTGGGACTAGTCTCATCCCACCTGAGGTTAGATGAGTTCAGTGTGGATCCTTCACTCAGGCTCCTTACTCTTGGCTCAGGTTCCTTCTAAGAGAGCTAGTTATCCAGGCTATGTAATCCTAGGGAAGGTACATCAGAATTGAAAACAGTGATGCTGATAAAATCATGGAAACCTTTTACAGCCAAACAAGTATCTCAGAAAAGACAAACGAAGGGTAGGTGCCAACCACATGGCCTTCTGTTCACCGGAGGGGCTATCCTCCCCCAGGGAATGGTGGCACCAGAATGGATGACGAGCAGGAGTGACAGCTGCTATCAGACCCTCTGTGCAGGCTGGCTGTCACTCCTGACATGCAGAGCGTCAGGATGCTGTCCTTCCAAACCCTCCGCAGTCCTGGGCCTGCTCTGCCCAGACGTCTTCAAGGATTTTTCATTGACCCTCTTTGACTTGCTATTTCTAAAGGAAAACCAGTGACTATCAAAGTAAATAAGCTCTCTATTCTTTAAAAACACACACATATATTATGTGTTGCTACATGCTAGATATTAAAATGTGCAAAACCAGGCCCATGCCCCAAAGGAGCTTACATTCTAATAGGCAGGAGTCGTGGACACTCGTTTTAGCGAGAAAGGAGAGACATTGTTCAGGGCGCTCCATAGTCAGGTGTGGGCGTTCGAGTGGCATACGTAAGACTGTCAGAGCGTGGCTGGCACTGGTATTTCTATTTGTTCAGTGTCCTCCTTGATGGATGGTGTTTAGTCAGGTACAAGCTATGTCTGCCCAGCACTAGAGTTTTGCTAATGATCCAGCCTTGTGGCGGGGAATCCAGAATACACAATGATTGAAAATGATCAATTTCCCACGTATGCTGCAGTTGCTAATCACTCCTTACAAGGAATGAGAGTTACACAGCGTTCCTTGTTGGTTATCCAAATGTAAGGGGGGAGGGGGGCGGACCAGAGAGCGGTGTTAGGAGTGGGGTGGTTCTGGGAGGGTTTTTAAAGAACTCATGAAAAATTCCCTAGACATGAATCAAGACCACAGCATAGAAATTATAAGCATATGTAGCTACAGCCTCATCAAATTAGAGGGACATGGCAAGAGTAAAGCCAGAATTTGAAGCAGTTTATTCCTTATGTTTAGTTTGGGGCAGGATGGCTTAATCTCTGGCTGTGACGTGAGTGCCCAGGGATGGAGCCCACATCAGGGGAGTCCCAGGTGCTAGAAGTCAAGGCAGAGCTTGGAGCTGAGCCGAGCAGGAACGGTTCTAGGTCTTCACGCGGCCCAGACAGCTGCTGCGGCTCCAGTCACCCTGCCTCTCCCTAGAAGGGCCCCGGGCACCATGCTCTCCCGATGCAGCTTGCCCAGAAACCGAAGCGGCACTTCATCACCGATTGGCCATTCCCCTTCCTGTTAGCCAAGGTCTCCACAGCACACTTCAGTTCATTAACACGGTAAATCTTCAGTGAACACCTGTAGCGTGTAAGGGGCTATTCTGGGTGCTGAGGATAGTGAACAGACAAAACCCTTGCCTTCTTGGAGGAGACGGGTAGTAACATACTAAACACAGGTAGGTGGTGAGAGGTGCCAAGGGGAAAAGAGCACAGCAAGTAAGAGGGTAGATGCTATGGGCTGACAGGCACTTCATTTCACAGGGGGCAGAGGAGTCAGGGTCAGCCTGACACCCTTCCCACTGAGACTCAGTTTCCCTAGATTTACATGGGCTCCGTGCTCAGAACAGACCTCACGTTATTCGAGTTTAGAGAATGATTTCACTTCACTAGTCCTCTTCTGGCCTCCCCGTAGCTAAACCAAAGTAAACAGCTTGAGATACAGCAGGCTGAGGTGAGGTGAGCGCTGGCAGAGAACTGGGAAGGCCCAGGCAGCCTGTGCAACTCACCCCTGCCTGCTCATCAGCCCCTCCCTGAGGTTTCTCCATTGTCCCGGTGAGGAGCCCGGTTCTGATCCCCCGAGCCTTGGGGTCTGTGAGCAGGCCTGAGAACCTGCCCTCACTAGTTCCTGGGGTGGGTGCCCCTTCCAGCCACTGCCCGGTCCTCCACGACGTCTGCTAACCACACGAGCACGTACTGAGCTCCTCTCTCCCTAAGACTGTTAGGACCACCTAATGCAGTCAGAGCTGGGTCCCGCCACTTCTGCCCATGATCTGTTTCCTGTGAGTCTGGCTGGGGGATCTGGGAGACTCCTGAGCATGTGTGATAGGCACCAGAGAGGTGCCAGCCTGGTCCCTGGAGAAAGTTCAAAGGGGGCAGCCATGTGTTACATCCTGGCATTGAGTCCCAGAGCAGCTGCTGGAGAACAGTCATGGTCAGGGCCACCCACGGGAGCCTCTGCCCCGACACGCACTTCGTCTGTCCCAGGGGCTGGCAGTGGGCATTCCGGCGGCCCCTGTGCTCACCGTAAGGTAAACATGAGCACACTCAGGCTTCTCACCTCCCAGGATCTCTGTGCAGCAGAATCTGGCTGTGCATTCTCTCTGCCCACCAGCTGAGCACAGGCAGTGGACACGTGTTGATGTAATAACTGGACAGAGCATCTGGGTGACTCTTAACAGTCCTAAGTCATACTGAGAGGAACCTTCAGCCTTTCTTAAAGGCAGGCATCCTACCAATGCAGCCTCGGTCAGGCGGCCGTGGAGGACCCCCAGGTCCGCTGCTGCTGCTTGGGGGTGCTCCCTCCTACCCCCTCCCTCCAGTGCTCTTGGCAAGTTTGGAAAGGGTGAGCAAAGATGGGTAAGCTGATAAGTTTTGTTTGCAGGGATGACTTTTTCTTGTCCTGAAATAACCCTTTTACTAGGAAACTAGAATCACATAAACTCACTGTTTATTTTTATAGTGAAATTCTGGGGAAAACAGACATGTTCTTCAACCTGACCCAGAATCCCAGAGTGGGGTTTCAGTAGGACCCAGAGTGCCACGGGGTCTCCTTCTGGAAGGCCAGCTTCCTGTACAGGAGGACCTGAGACATGCAGGGGCACTCAAGAGGGTTTGCACATACATGTGTATTCCTGTGCACAGAGCTGCACCCACAGCCCGTCTGCGAGGGGAGCAGGGCTGACCGGGCTGATAAGAGAACTAGTGGGGAAAGGGGCCACTGGGCTTCCTTCCATGGCACCAGGACCTCCAGGAAACCAGATGGCTCAGAGCCATGCCTGCAGGAAGAGGATCAACAATTTATTATTTGCTACGTCTCTGCACCTTATTTCAAAATTCTCAGACCCTAGGGAACAGAAGGATGTGTTCACAAATGCTTCCTTCTGGGTTTTGTTTTCTGGTAGGTGCTTGGAGTAACATTATCACCACAAGGTTCTCCAGGAGAAATGATTGTGTGGCCTTGGGCTGACCAGGGTTGCAACTGGTCTGAAGGCCCTGGTGCTGGGGAGGTTTGGGGCTTTCTTCTCTTTGGGGGGCCTCAGGTCCTGTGCCTTCCCTTAGCGGGGCTTCGGACAGTCCTGGGGATCCAGCCCATGGGAGAGGCAATCCCCGGTGCCCCTCTGCCCCAGGTGACTTACACCCTGGTTCTTGAGTGAACACGAGAACATCGCCCGAAGCACACTTTTCCCAGATGCCCTTCTCTCAGACCTCCATGCCAGGTGTCCCTGGGAGCCACATCCACCACCCTGGGCTCTGAAGGTCTTCCCTCCCTCGTACCACATCCTAAGCTGGCTGTCCTGGCCGTGAGCTTTTCATGCCACAGATACAAGTTCATTCTCAGGTGGCGCTTGTAGTCAGCTCAATGACAGAGGCCTTTGGTCCCTTTAAATACAGTTCCTCATGTTGTGACCCAACCATAAAATTATTTTCGTTGCTACTTCATAACTGTAATGTTGCTACTGTTATGAATCGTAATGTAAGTATCTGATATGCAGGATGGTCTTAGGCGACCCCTGTGAAAGGGTCATTCGACTGCCAAAGGGGTCGCGACCCACAGGTTGAGAACCACTACCTTAGACTCTCAGCTCATTGCTCTCAGAATAGGCTGGTCTGAAAGGCCCAGGGAACCCTAGCAGCAGGCCAGCCTGTGGGTGGAAACTACTGCACTGTTAATGGGTTTAATTAATACATGATCTCTTTCTCCATCCCAGGTTCCAGGTGTGTGATGGTGGCTGCAATCTGTCTTGTGGGTATTAATGCATCTTCAGTGGTGGCTACTGTTCTCGAGCTGTTCTACAAAACTGGAGCATGCTGGTGAGTGTCGCTGAACAGGCCCTCGGAGAAGCAGCGTGTCCTGGGGCAGGGCACCCGATGGTGTACACCCATGTGGCCAGGACCATCACCAGCATCGCCTGGGTGCTACACCTGTCCCAGTGGGAGCTCTAAGCTGGGACGTGCGGGTGTGGAGTGCTCAGGGCCAGCGGTTGGTTCCTCATTATCTCCTCCACCCATGGCCTGCGTAGGGAGGGCTGTCTCTGCATAGCAACTGAGCTTTGCAAACTCTCAAAGCGCGTTGCGTAGTACTTGGTTCTCACCACAGCCATCCTGGGTGGGGCTGACACTTTAACACCTGCTCATCCAGCAGCAGCATTGAATGATATATTCCACCGAAGGGAATCACAGCTAGATGAAGCATTACCTAAAGCCTTTAAAATTGACCATTTTGTCTGTTTTTTAAAAAAAATTTATTTCAGAGAGGAAGGGAGAGAGGAAAAACATCAGTGATGAGAGAATCATTGATCAGCTGCCTCCTACACACCCCCTTCAGATAGAACCTGGGACCCTTCAGTCTAAAGGCTGACACACTATCCACTGAGTCAAATCAGCTAGAGTGGAAATTAACCATTTTGGTGGAAATCTTTTTCGGATGTAGTATGTCTGTTCCTCCCGACTTACTAGTCCAATTATATTGATTATAATGCAGCCCTTTCTTGGTGACTGAGGGACATTTTTATGAGCCTCTTCAGAAACAGGGTGAATGCCCTTGGGCATAACTGAATGATCCAGGATTCTCACTGAATCCTCCAGAATTTTCTAGTGGGTGATCATTTTGGAGATCTGTCTGTGATTTTAGTCAATACCAGTTGTCACTCCTCAGTTCATCTATTTCTGGCAGTGAGTCTTAAAACAATGACATAGCATTCCCGAGGCGACTTGCCCACTCGTCTCTCTGGCAAGCTTGGCCTCGAACAGCAGGAATGCCAGGGACAGGCTGACAGCGGTTATATCTCAGCCCAAATAAGGTGGCAAATTTCATCCCTGCGAGGGACCTCTAAAGATGAGTCAGAAAAGGGGCAAGATTCCTGCTAAGGACAGAGGACCAGGCAGTTCTGGCCACGGAGGGCATTACCACATTTCTGGTGCTTAAGGAACTTCGTGTTCAGAACAGTACCATTCAGTGCCTGTCCAGCAGCCGGCACTTGGGGTCTTTTTCCTTGACGTTTGTTTCTCACACTAACCAAACTTACCAATGTTTTTCCACATGACAGGGCACTAGTGTTATCCATCCCACTAATTCCACAGCCAATTTATTAGGTTTTCCGACTGTCAGAGTAACAATGCCTACAATATTAATGATATTATCACTTAGCAAAGCTTCTTTAAAAGACAAGATTTTGTTTTTCCCCCTCCTCTGGGGAAGCTTAAAGGCCAGTTAAAAGCCACCTATACAATTTTTCGGAAGCAGGTTAGAATTATTTTTTTTCTAAGTGCAGTGAATGAAACCAAACACCAGTAATTCGGGGGCCGTGCAGATGAGGCCAGTCAGGAGACAGCAGCAGCTGAAGTGTGTGGTGACTTCATGCAGACATCGGGAGGGCCGGTGACGAGAGGAAGATAGGACGTGGGGGAGAACTGGGGCTTGGTCCTGGTTGGGCAGCTAAGAGTCAAGTTGCAAATATACCTGAAATAGTGGAGCAGGCAAGCCAGCATGCACCAGGTGGGGAAGGGGATACCTTCGGCAATAGCCAGATTCAAGGTGGGCTCTGGGCTCACCGGTTCCTGGGCCATCCAGATGTTACAAGAACAAGCCTGGCAGAGGCTTTCCTCTTCCCAAATCTGAAGTTGGAGGACACTCTGTAAGGCCCGTCCTTAGAGAGCAGGTAGGCCTGGGCTGGGCAGCTTGCTCGTTACTGTAGCCTCTAACTACAGGGACTGTTCCCCTGGAGATTATAGAGTGTGCGTGCGCCTTTAAAAATGTTAACTAGTCTTTTTATTACAAATTAATGTTAGCATTTGATTTTTTATAAATCAAGCTGACAAGTATAAAATGAAAACTAAATCACTCATTTAAAACTTTTGTCATATATCCCATATTTATTGAATTGGATGGAGGGAAATATTCCTTATCTTTTTGTAAAAATGAGTAAATTTAGAGAAACTCTGGCAGGGAGAGGGGGGGTCATTAGTAAGTCAAGTACAGATGGTCCCTGCCGTATGGTTTGGAAGCGATATGCACTCAGTAGAAATCAGATTCTGAATGTTGATCTTTTCCTGCGCTAGCGATGTGTGGCACGACACTTCCGGGATGCTGGCAGTGATCTACACAATTGTGAGGGAAACCACCGATGCTCTACAGTGTGCAGCCAGCATTCTTTGGGTGTAAATTACACGAGATATTGAACACACCGTTAATTTTTTCAACTACAGTTGACATACAGTATTATATTCGTTTCAGTGTGCAACACAGTAATTAAGATTTATGTACTACATTATGAAATAATCACTCCAATAACTCTAATACCCATCTGACACCATAATCATCACAATATTGACTATATTCTCTATGCTGTAGTTTACATCCCCATGACTATTTTATAACTACTAATTTGTACTTAATCCCTATGTATCTGAGTATGTTTGTCCATTTATTCTATTCTTTAATTCCCCATGTAAGTGAAATCATGGCATTTGTCTTTCTCTGACTTTTTTCACTTAGCATAATACCCTCTAGGTCCATCCACATTGTCACAAATGGTAAGATTTCATTCTTTTTTTGTGGCTGAGTAATATTCCATTGTATATATGCATCTTTATCCATTTATCTATTGGACACTTAAGTTGCTTTCCTATCTTGGCTATTGTAACTAATGCTATAATGAACATAGGGATGCATATCTTTTCAAATTAGTGTTTTTGGATTTCTTAACATAAATACCCATTAAGTGCAGTTGCTGGGTTGTAGGATAGTTTATTTTTTGAGGAACCCCCATACTGTTTTCCACAATGGCTGCACCAATCTGCACTCCCACCAATAGTGCAAGGGAGTTCCCTGTTCTCCACATTCTGGCCAATACTTGTTGCTTCCTGGTTTATTGATGGTAGCCATTCTGACAGGTGTGGCTTTAATTTGCATCTCATTGTAGTTTTAATTTGCATCTCTCTGATTAGTGACATTGAGCATCTTTTCTTATGTCTATTGGCCATCTTCAGGTCCTCTGCCCATTTTTTAATCAGATTGTTAAGATGTACAAGTTCCTTATATTTTGGATATTAACACCTTATCGGATGTCTCATTGGTGAATATCTTCTTCCATGCAGTAGGCTGTGTTTTCATTTTGTTGATGATTAGCTGGGTGCAGAAATTTGTGTCTGATGTAGTCCCATCTGTTTATTCTTTACTTTTCCCTTGCCCAAGAAGATATATCCAAAAAAATATTGCTAAGAGAGATCTGCCTTTTTTTTTCTTCTAGGACTTATTTGGTTTGAAGTCTTACATCTACTTTATTATAAAATAGGCTTTATATTAGATGATTTTGCCCAACTAAAGTCTAATGTAAATGCTCTGAGCACATTTTAAGGTAGGCTAAGCTATGATGTTAGGCATTACATGTATTTTCAATGGGTTTATTGGCACGTAACCCCGTCATTAAGTCCAGGAGTGTCTGTCTATGTAGGTGGATTGGGAGGAAAAGAGAGAAAATTTTCTTATTGCTGGGAGAAAAGGCTCACAAGGCACTTGTACAAACAGATTCCTACTTACCAAGGAGAAAGTTGAGTCAGCTGCCTCCAAGGACTGACACACATTGATCAAGGACAACTGAAATGAAATGTTTTGGAATTGTATAATGTTCTTAAGAGACCAGGAGACGTTCTCCATTGTCTTCAAACATGTGCTTTCTTCCTTGTTTATCCCATCACACGCATGTTGGAGATGTCCCCCTTTCAGGACGGTTCTGAGAGGAGACTGCTCTCTAAACAGAGGCTGGCCCTCCCCCCTCGGTGCTCTGTGTTCTCGGATGTCTTTGCATTCTGTTTAAAATGTCCTTGTTAATACATTCCAAGGTTTGAACTCCATTCCTAGCAAAACCCCTTCCTTGTTTACAGGGACTGAAATAGCCACATTTTGACCTTCTGTTCAGTCTGGGAACATCTATGGCCACGGGGACACATTCTTTTCCCATGTGAGAATTACATTTACACAACATAGTTATGGAAAGAAAAGCTCAGGAAATTAACAGACTCGCATCCCTCTCTTCTAGATTTTTCACTTCAAAAGATCAACCAGAATTAAGTAGGAACCCCTCTTTCTTCCTGCTCAGAGCCCAACATGGTCCCTAAGCATTTATCAAGACTAGGGGGCCAAGTTTCAGGGCGATGGTCCATCATTCCTGTCTCATTTTTCATGTAGTCTGAGTGTCTGAATTATGGCTATATGCAAGTGATTACATCTGGGGTGAGGGAAAGAGGAAATAGTTTTAGGGAGGAAAATATCCAAGATAATCCTTTTAAAAACCAAATAAGTGGCCTGGATAGTGAGAGCTCTGAGAGGAGAAAGCCCCACAGGCCAAAGTGACCAGAAAGGCTGGAGGACCTGGGGCTTATACTGAGTTTGGAAAGATAGTAGGGTTGGAGGGGGGAATTGGACGGAAGAGAGGAAGTAGGAAGAGGAACAAGCTTTTAAGGGCCTTGGGTCTTGGGGGAGGTATTGGAGAGATCTGAGGGAGGAGGGGGTGTGTTTTAGGAATCATGGTTATCTTCTTGCTGCCCACAGCAAAGTGGATGAAGAATCATGTTAGAAACACACACCAGGAAAGGTGAGCCCATGATGGTGATGTCAGAAGTGAAGGAATGACCCGAGAGAGCGGGGCTGTGTCAGGGACAGAGACACATAGGGAGAGGGTCAGGAGCTATGTTAAGGTAAGGCTTGGCAAGTCTTGAGTTTAGACATACTGCTTTTGCGGTCATGGCAGAAATGTTAGGGGCTGAGATGACAGGAGTGGGAGAATTATCCAGGGCTAGAAACACCCATTTGCCCAAATATGGTTGTAAGCTCCCCCAAAGAAAGCAGAAGTAGGCCAGCCAGGCCCTTACCACACACAGCCAAAGGCTGGAGCAGATGCAGGGATGACATGCAGCCCGATGTTCCCTTGCCTGTTCATTCAGTCCCTGAAAGCAGTGTGGCAGCTTTGGCTTCAGACCCTCGGTCTCAGTGCTGTCACCACATCCAGTTTTGGCTGCTTTCCCAAGATGGCCCTCTCCAAGCCATGCTCTTTAAGAGGCCGTTGGCAGCGTGCAGGCCCTTTCAGTTCCAAGAGTTTAAGGGCAGCCAAGTGCCTTCCCCTGTGAATTGTTCCAAAGTATGAACAGCCGTAGAGTGACTGTTGTTCCTCAGAAACGGCTTCCTGGAATCAGCACACACAGCGTGGGCTCTTGGCACACGGTCAATCTGGGATGACGTGGAAGGTGTCATTCCAGGCCCGAAAAGCCAAGAATGTGGGGGGAGGAAGCTGACCTGAATCCAGTTCCTCAAGCTGGTTTGCCTCCTCTGTTGGTTTGTGGGGACTGGGGTGGGGGCCTCTTCACACTTGAGGGAAGGGTGTGGGTTCATTGGAAAAGTCAGCTAGTACAGCCTCAAAGGGGATGCCCGCTTCATAAGCCCCCTGCAGCCCTACCCCATGGAAAGATGCCCCCAGCCCTGGCACTCTCTCTCCTGCCACCCATCTAGATGGTGGGAAACCAGAGTCTAGCAGAAGAAATGTAGCTTTCAAGAGGGGGTCCTGCTGGCCCTGCTCACTAAGCATCAGGACACGTTTACCTACACCAGCGACGGGGCGTGAACAGACCACCATCTGCTGAGCAGGGGCTGCTCCCGCTATTGTGTTTGACCAGGGGAAGCAAGAGTCAGAAAGTGAGATTTCCTAAAGGTGCGCGCTGCTAACTGCTGGACACATGCTTCTGTTCCAGAGAATTCTGAGAAAGTAAAGGGGGCAGGTAGGAGCTAGGGGCCGCTGAGGTGTCATGCATGATATTGGGTTTTCTGACTCGTGGCAGATTATTAGTTTGACCCACTTATGCTGTCATCTACAAACCTGGCTGTGACAGGACTGACCGGCACTGGACAAACCTGATTTGGGAAGGAGTCTGTACCAAAATATGTTTCTAATTTCAGGATTTACTGCTACATATATATTTTCCCAAATAAGTCTAACTTAGGACAATTATATGGGTTTTCAATAATGATGCTATTTTCGTTATAGCCTCCTCCCACTCACAAATAAGCATTTCCTGTACAAAATTCCAGTTATACTGATTTACGCCTACATACACTTTTTCTACAACCACAAATTTATGAGTCTGACATGCTGGTGAGATGACAGCAAGAAAAGGTACTTGGAGAGAGAAAATTAAAATGACAGAATAATCACAGAGTTTCGTTAACACTGTTAACTAAATCTAGACACAGAGGAGCAGAGATACACTTCAGAACATCCTGGGCCAGAGGCGGCTCTGCCAGCGGCAGTCGAAGGACTCTGATTGTTCCAAGGCCCCACAAAGCAAGACAAGTATGAGCATTTCCTTGCAACTGCAGGGGAAGGAGGTATTGGGAATTTCTAATAAGAGATAAATGGAAATTAAATATACTCCCTACGTATCTAAGGTTAGACACCAATACTCTTGTGTCTTTACTTGGTGAGTCAGTAAATATATTGCACGCTGACACACACACACCTTTTCGCAGAGAATCACCAAGGATTTCCCCAGGTGAAAGTTTCGTGAATTCTATCAACAGGTGTCTCCCAGCACAACCCCGCAGCAGGCAGGAGGAATTACTGCACCTTTGAGACCTGCTTTCCTCACACATTCCTTTCTCTTTCAGGCTTGAAAAAACCATGCCCAGTTTTGATTTGATCCCTTCAAGACTTTGCCACAGCCTCTATCACACATCTGTTTTTCTTGAAGAAAAAAATATAATAAAAATGTTTTACTCTTTTACACTGTATAATTTTAACAAATAGTGTGTTATTTGTGAATGCATGGTCTGACGTACATTTCTGTACAGTGTGGAGATATTTTCAAATGAAACATAAAAGATGTCAACAATAAACCAAGAGTGAGTATTTTTATACCAAACATTGAAATATGATAGGATGATCTTACACTGGGTTGGATCACAATTTTTGTTCTTGACTTTTGAATGCCTGTAATTAAAAATATCTATTTTTTTCTCTAGAATATAAGCTGCATGTTTGAGGCATGTTTTTAAATATGAACATTTCCAGAATCTCATGTGAATGTATAGAAATCTGTGCCTGGCCTGAGTCCAGAGTGAATGAGAAATGTGGAGTTGGATGTCAGAGAGCTGTGCTGTCTGCAGTACAAGGTGTGCGCTGGCCTCCTGGAGATCTTGCAACACCATTGCAAGCCTCCTGGAGCTGCTACCATGGTGACACGCTCACAGCTGTGGGCAAAGAAGCCTTTCCCTGATCAGAGGGCCCTTAGAAAACCCTGGCAGCTCCAGAGGTAACAGTCTGTCTCACTGAGAGGGAAACCTTGGCTCTGGGAGGCCAGTGCTGCCTCAGGAAGCTGGCTTTGCCCATCCTGCATAGCTGCAGTGGGCAGCTCATGTCTCCTAAGTGATATTGCAAAATATTGGCTGAGCTGGTGCTGGCAGCACCATGCCAATGAGCCATTCCAAACATGATCTTAAACCCTATGCACTCACTGGGGTGCTTGCACCACACCAGCCCATGGAGATGATGCAGCCAGTGGGCATTTGAAATGATTACTGCTTCAAGACGACTTCAAAACCAAAGTTAGTCTTGCATTGAAAGCTGACACATTTCCAGAGTCTTGACAGCTCAGTCTCCCCTCTTCTTATAGAAGAGCCAGGTGTAAAAATATATACAGTGGGGCCTTGACTTACGAGTGTCCCGACTAACGAGTTTTTTGAGATACGAGCTGTCTCTCGGCCAATTTTTTGCTTTGAGTTGCGAGCTAAAATTCGGGTTACAAGCCAGCTTCAGATACCCCACCGCTAGTTGGCGCAGCGAACGTCACAGTGAACGCCACAACATCAGCCCAGCATCACGTGTCATTGTAATGGTGAAAATTGATTTGACATACGAGTAATTTGAGTTACGAGCTCCGTCACGGAACGAATTAAACTCGTAAGTCAAGGCCCCACTGTATTGACCTAAGAATTTCAACTGCTGATATGCCAAAACATGACCATAATCTTTCTTAACTGACCTGCTCATGTTGTGCTACAGACTTCAATGTTTTAATGATTATATGGTTGGGTTAGGGTTTGTTTCATTGTTTTCCATTAGAAATAAACATGTCAAGAAGCTTTTAAAGGTCATCACACAAAAAACAAGAAGGGCCAGGAAAGAGGCCTCTTACCTTCATAAATGAGGCCAAGGGCACTGACAGGAGCACGGGCGGCTGTGTTCAAGCCCTGGATGCCTTCAGCACGCCTGGCTCTCGGTGAGACTTCTACACTCGTCTCTAAGGAAAGCAGCAACTTTCACACTGTCTAGTATGCTTTTATACACTGTTTAAAGGTACTTTTCTATTGTCATTTTAAAAATAAAGTGCTTATCCCAGCTGTCACACCATTGCTTGGCAAATTTCTTTTTACAAGATTAACCAAGAGCAAACCACACTGCAGGCCAGGGTCCGGCAGGCAGATTTCTTTACCCCCTTTAAGTCTTCGACAGAGCCAGGTCAGAGAGACTAAAGAGAAAACAGGGCTGGGAGAGCCAGACAATAACCACCACAGAGGCTCTATTGTGGGCATGTGGTGAGCGACACTGATACCTTAGGCCCGTGGTCGGCAAACCGCGGCTCGCGAGCCACATGCGGCTCTTTGGCCCCTTGAGTGTGGGTCTTCCACAAAATACCACGTGCGGACGTGCACATACAGTGCGATTGAAACTTCGTGGCCCATGCGCAGAAGTCGGTATTTTGTGGAAGGGGCACACTGAAGGGGCCAAAGAGCCACATGTGGCTCGCGAGCCGCGGTTTGCTGACCACTGCCTTAGGCCATGGCCCTTCCTGACCTGCTGGAGGCGCTCCTGGTAAATTCACAACCTCTTTATTGATGCCTTACTGACCACATCCACCTAAGCCTACGAAACTTAGCTCCAGATTATCTGAAATCTGTAGTCATTTTATGGTGCCTGCTAACTTAAAATATAATTGATAACCAAGCATTGATAGCCAAAATAATAAAAGCATTTCTTCTATACACTCTCACCAACCCTTCTTCCCCCAGAAGGGGGGAAACCACAGTGCTCAAATCCAACTAGTAATTGTATGTCTTGTTAGGCACTGACATTATTGGTCTGGTAGTTTGGATCTCACATCCCTTTTGCAGAGGAGACCATCGCCAAAAGCAGGTCCCCATCGCAGCCTCCCAATACCCTGGAGCCCAGGCGTAGCAGCAGAAAACCAACTCAGCTCTCCCCAGGCTGCAGAGGCCATGCCAATGGCTCCAGGACAGGCTTGTGGCTCTGCCTTCAGCCCATCTGTGACTTCCTACTCGGAGGCACCAGAGGTTAGCAGGTCAGCCTAGGAATTACGGGCTTCACCCCCTGAAGATTTGCTGCCTCTCCTGTCTACCTTGGGCCACCCTCATCCAGCCACTGCCTAAACAAGGCACTAGGGACGGATGAATGGGTACTCCAGGCACCACCACACTGATAGTCATCAGTGATGTGCAAGGGGCAAGCCTCCCTGGTGCTTATGAACTTGATCTGTTCCCATTGACTACTCAGCTGGGAACCAGCTTCATTAGAGTCTGAAAACTGTCTTTTCTGTCACTCTACAGGCAGGAATGAAGAGTGCCTACAATTGGGAACTTGGGATAAGAAAAATCAGGTCTGTTTGTTCCCTCCTGCTTACGTTTATACTGTCCCAGTTTGTAGGCGCCACAAAAATGGGAACTAAGACTTTTTTTTTCTTTCATTACCAAGCAAACCCTCTATTGGAGGTGAAGACGTGCCCTTGTGAACATAAGACTAAACTGACATCTAACATTAAATGCTATGCTATGTCTTCTACCTCTAACAAAATTACAAATTAAAAGAACTTAGAAAATGAAAGTCAGAATTCCAGTTAATCATATCTAAGCTTCAAACTCACTAGACCCAATGTTTACACAAATGCTGGGCCTTCTATGGGACCAACGTGTAAGTCTCACTGCTCTCACCTGAGGTTCCCCGAACCCCAGCACCCCACGGCATCTTTGGGTCCTGAGTTGTGTGGCATAAGGAACATTCCTGAGGATGAAGCAGGCTGGCTAATATCGAGTTCTTTACCTCAATACACACAATTCCTGTTGTCTGTCAGGGTGACAGATGAATCAACCCGGCATTTCTAGGAGCTTTGGGCAAGCATGCTCAGTGCTAAGAATATGTGCACGTTCCCTACGGCCTGCCACATCACTGAGATGTCCAGCTGCTAGTGAACGGAGCATCCTCACCCAGTTTTAAGAAAGTTGGTACATGACTGGTCTTACTCTTCAACTCTTAACCCACTCTAACCCATGACAAACACTTACATAACATTCTTGGAAGGCAGAAGAATATCTGTCACTAGTGAGGTGTTACCTGAAATGCTGGTATTCAAAACACCTACACTAAAACTAAGGACTGTGAATACTGAAAACCATATGAAATCAGCTAATTGAGTAAGGCCCCAAACTGGGAAATTTTTCAACTGCCACAGTGAAGCTCTTGTCTGCCTCTGCTACAGGCCCTCCTAGATGGAACTAAATAGTATTAACCCTTCCCTAAACTGGCCTGGCTCACTAACAGTCCCACAACCCAAAGATGTCAATATGCCATGAACATTCTTCCTCGTTTTACCCTCTCTGCACAGCTCTCCAGTAAACCGGCAAGTTCTATTTCACCAGCACTTCCAGTGAACCCACCACACTGATTCCCACTTTATAAGGGAGGGGAAAAGCCCTCCCCAAAACCATAACACTACACCCATAAACAGGACAACAGTGAAGTCTTCCACATACCACTGCTCACACACATCTCTCACTTAAAATTCATGTGAAACCCTGACCATGCTAATTAACACAATTAAGTCAGAAACTTAAGCCAGAGGCTTAAATTCAACCCAAACTTGTCTTCAGAGCAAAAGCAAAAAGACCTGCCTAAACTGAATGAGAAATGCTCAAGGTAAAATATTTACCTGGACAAAAGAGCACTTTCCCCCTAAAACTAGAATGCAGGGCTTGGGTGAGAGGGAGGGGCTCAGCTAGAAAGTTCAAATTGTTAGAATAGTCAAGTGCAAGATAAACCTGCTCTTGGGTGTTTGTGGAGCAGGTCCTGCCTAATTCAGGCTACGGTTACTCAGTTCTCTCCTGTTGGTACCCTTCTGTGTTTTCACTTATTTTAAGATTTTAAGATAAGTTTGGACTGAATGTCCTTTGAAGCATGACCCCTGCAAAATTCTGGGTGGCTGAAATTCACGGGGTTCTCACAGGGTCTTGAAACCACATGGTTTAAGTCACAGGAATGTGCTGGCTTGCCTCCAAACCAGGGGAGCTGGACCAGTTCTACGGGCCTAACTGTCCAAAGGGGCCTATGACGGCGGCCTTGCCACTCGGCTGGAGGGCACCAGCACATTTATTTCTAATGGAAATCCTTTTATGAAGGAAAATGTGCTTTTCTATTTTAACTATGGCCAGAAGGAAGGTCAAAAGCACAATGCCAGGGTCTAGTCTACCTGTTTCCAAAGTATGTTCCCTCTACACACACACACACACACACACACACACACACACACGACTAGGGCAGAGGTCCAAGGTCCAATTTGTCTGAACTGGTTTCCTGAGGTTCTTGGTCCTCCTACATCACTCCACCTCCCATGGAACTTCTGCTTTCTCAGGAGAAGCCAACAAAACACACACTGGGAAAAAGATGACTGCCCTACATGAAGCCCCGAGGACAGCAATCCATTGATGCAGGTCACCTCTACTGTCTCCAGCACAGTATTCCAGCCTTGCCACAGGGCAACAATGCTGGGCCTGGCTTGTTCAGAGCAGTCGGTGAAACCTTAGAAAACCCCAAATCTCTCGCACAAGTG